GGTGGGCACTTGTCACGGCCGTGATGGGGGCTGCGAGGCGCCGCACAGCAAAGCGGCGCCGCCGTGAGCGGGTGTGGAGCCTCACGTGAACAGCGGCCTGTGTGCGTGTTCCTGCACGGGCTGTGCCGGAGTGTCTGTCTGTGCGCCCCAGGGCTTCTGGGGAGCTGCTTGTCTTGTCACAGCGAGGGAGTGGAACTGAGGACGTACCTTCGCAACGGAGATGCCCTGCGAAGATCAAAAGACGCCCTTGTTGCAGCCGTAGTTTCTCATCTGTGGGTTACCTGGCTCTTTCTCCAAAGAGGAGGCACTAAGCAGTTCTCTGGGCTTGCAGGCAAAAAGACTGCTAGGAAGAGAGTGCAGGGAAAGGTTAGAATAAATGCAGGGTTTTCCTTGCTGAGTGATGTGTATTTAACAACGGGTATTACTACTGGTGTGCAAACAGATACTAGCAGTTCATAGGTCGTAACAGGTCTTCTCATCAGATGTAAGAAAAGAAGTGGCAGTTTCCACTCGTTTGTTTCTCTGTAGGTAGCAAAGGTTTCTGTCGTGTATAATGCTAAGGTCTATGAAATCAGGCCATTACAACAGACACCAAAAAATGAAACTCCAAAATGCAAAATGAGCGAATTCCCAATGATGAATCTTAATCTGGCACCCTTTTGAGATTGAAGTGAAATGCCTACTGAGTCCCACCTGAGACAGAGTCCTGCAGATTTCCACTCATGTATCTCTGTAAGAGTGGAGTAAGGAGTATCATGTGAATGTATTTTGTTCTTTTCTAAGGTTTCATGTTCTGGTGTGTTTCTGCCTGAGAACATCCACTTGCTAGATGCCTTGGAACAAAAGGTCTTGTACAAGCTGTAAATCATAGATAATCTTATTTTTCTTTATAAGTGACACCTTATTCTTTCTTCACGTCTATTTCAATATAATTAGATTAATTATTAGGCCCATTCCTGGAATTTAATAGTTTTTAGCATTTGTTAAAATGTTTTTAAGATTTTTTGGTGTGGAGCTTCAACAGCAGTGATTTTGGAAGGTCATCTCACATGGATGGTTTTACCTAATGTCAGCAGTGGCAACAGTGTCAACGAGGGTAATTGAATTTATTCCGTTTCAGATACGAGTGTTCTGGAAGCAATATGATATCTCAGTTATAATATGACTATAATCTATTTAAATTTTTGTCATTACAGCAGACATGATGTAAATGAAGATCCAAGTGGATGAAGGATAGAGAAATGGTTTTGCTGCCATTTTACATGCCACACCAACTGGCACTAGTGAGAACATGAGTCTTCAGCATCTTTTTCTTGTACTCTGCTCTGTGTTCATTGGTTATGGTTCTGGTGAATGTTATTTTGTTAGAAAAAACAGTTAGAAAACAGGTTTTTAAAAAAATGGTGTAAGACAGAATGGCTAAGTTTATTGACAAGCAAAACCATGCTGAAGCCATTGCGAAACAGGGAGGAATGAAGTTAAGAGGATCAGTATCTCTCTTATCTATTTATTTCAGACTATTATTTTTTTAAACCCCTCTTACTACCTGTCTCTTGCTCTAAAATTCTTTGCGTCTGTCTCACAAGATGCCTTTCCTTGAGGCACACAATTGCTTTCCCTTTCCCCTGTGGTAATTACTGGCAAAAATGAAAAGCTACATAGTTAATACATCTGAAAACTACAAAGTATAATACTCTAAGGCCTTCAGCCTGTCACTCTGTGCACACAACTCTGAGCAGAGGACCCTTCATTGTCTCTGCAATAAAAGCCCCTAGCCACGTTCTGACCAGAAGTGGGTAATATAACCCACTTCCATAGAAGGGTAGTTCCTGGTACACTTATCTAATCATCAGAGGAGCATCAAAGCAATTATCATTGAGTAGATGTTGTTAGATAAGTTCATCCTTTGCCTGACCTCACAGTAATGTGGTTTTGTGCTTGTGACTTTCATTAGTAGGTTACCTAGCATGAAGCAACACGTTTTCTTAGGGAAAACATGACCCTGCATAGCCCTCTCAAAAAAGAAACTTGCTAAAACACTGTCTGAATACACTGACATCATTTGAAGAGGGATGTTGGAACATTCCAAAGAAACAAAAAAGCATTGAATATTTCTAAAATAAGTGAGATGCATCTGAGGGCATCTTCTTTATATAGGGAACATATCCAGAATGAATGCCCACATAAAATAAGTCGTAAAGTTCTAATTTACTTGAAAAGGGTCAGAATTTCACTCCAAGGCATGAGAAAAGTATCTTTGAATATGACATAATTCATTGTAATAGAACAGACAAGAGCTAAATACATATTTTTTTATTTCTTTCTTAAAAGGCATTTCTTAGATGAACCATTAATTATTTTTAAAAAGCAAACATTCTTAAAAGAATACATAGACAAATGAGAAAACTTCCTTGCATCTTCTCATTTGCCTACAATCACTGTGGAATATTACCTGTATTTTAAAGTGTTTGCAGTTACGGATTTTATTTTTTTCTTTTGGGATGTGTCCTACAGAATTGGCCAAGAATTCAGGTTCTAGAAAGTACAGAAGTTCTGAAGTTGATGCTGACGTGGGTGAATATGCAATTTTAGCTTTTTTGGACAGGTTTCCCAGGACCATGTCCAGTTGGATGTTGAATATCTCCATGAATGGTGGCTCATTAACCTCCCTGGACAATGTGTTTGAGCTCACAGTGGAAGCAGAACATTACATTCACAGATGGGGGAAGACACAGCCTTCTCCACCTGGTTCCTTAAGGAAGGAGATCAGCCACAGATTTCACTCAAAGTAAAGCAATTATTTGTGACGTAGGAACTCTTCGGCTTTTCAAATGCCTTCAAAACTAAGAAAATAAGACTTCAGAGTGAAGAAAACTCAGAAGAAAAACAAAGGAGCTTGAGCTTATTCTATTTCTAGGGGTAACAGCTACTGACATTTCATCTACTTGTTCAGGGGGTTGATTCAGATGAAAACCAACTCTCCAAAAAAGGGAGCATACTGCTACAGCAGCTCCCAAATCGGTGCTGCTGAGAGTGCAGAAACAAAGCAGGGTCTGTGGCTGGC